CTTGTGCAGGGTGACTGGTCTTGTCTCCGCCCCCTCCTGTAAAAAAGATCGCTCACTGCGGCTCTCTCTGCTTGTGCAGGTTGACTGGTCTTGTCTCCGCCCCCTCCTGTGATAAAGACCGCCCACTGCTGCTCTCCCTCCTTGTGCCGGGTGACTGGTCTTGTCTCCGCCCCCTCCTGTAATAAAGACCGGTCACTGCTGCTCTCTCTCCTTGTGCCGGGTGACTGGTCTTGTCTCCGCCCCCTCCGGTAATAAAGACCGGTCACTGCTGCTCTCTGTCTTTGTGCAGGGTGACCGGTCTTGTCTCCACCTCCTTGTGCATGTGTGACCGGTCACACATTCCAACGCAGTCACAAACTTTGATAGAACAGCGGGATTATATTCAACATTCTTTGTGTATCAATTTTATATAAATATTAAATTTTTTTAATTTCACCAAAACTGACGTTTTTTTCCTCTTTTCCACCAATCAGTTTGCTTTCAGAGACTCTCCTCGAAGTTGAGTTCGGTTTTAGGTTTCCCGCCTCGCTCTGTCGTGCCAGCGAGTTCAGAGCAATGCAGGTCAGAGTTCACCTGTGTATACAATGTGTACAGTACACGGCGCTGCAGCCTTGAATGTTTACCTGTTTTAGGGGGCCCTCGGGGCCCCATCGCTGTGCGTTCCGTTATGCCCGCTGTGCGTTCTCTGAAGTAGCCCAATCGGCGTTGTTAGTTGGGGCCACACGGGGGGGGATTTTTTTTCCTCATTTCGCGCAGATATAAAAGACACAAAAGAATGCAGATCTTTCATCGTTACATTTATTTTCAGCTGCAAGCAGTGTCAGTCCCTGAATGTGACCCGGTATCAGCCTATTGCAGGGAGGGGAGAGCTCAGCTCAGCATAGCTCAGACTAGGGGAGGGAGAAGCAGCACAAGGAGCCAATCAGTTAATGTGCTGACAAGAAGCATGCTGATAGGAGGAGAGAGCAGAGTGACAGAGAGATGAGCTCATCATTGTGCTGCTTCTCCTTTCACTGTCCAGTCCCAGGCCAGGGGGTGGTGCCAGGACCAGGATGACCCTAGAAAAATGATAACAGGGTCTAACCCTTCCCTACTGCACCCAAAAGTTTAGATACACTCTAAAGCCAAATGCCGTCCGAATATACGAGATAAATATCAATAGGCCATTAAAAGATATAATCACAAAACTGGCATTCACCTCCGGTCTGGAGATTTCCCTCATTAGATGTCCTCAGTCTGATGGCCAGCATCATTCAACCCACTTCCTCTGAGCCCAGGTCTGCCTGGACCGCCCCCCCCAGTCTGTGATTGGACAGTGAAAGGAGAAGCAGCACAGTAATGGGCTCAGCTCTCTGTCACTCTGCTTTCTCCTCTTATCAGCATGCCACCTGTCAGCACATGATTTGATCGGCTGCTTCTTCCTCTCACACTCTGAGCCCTGCTCAGGGACTACAAGAGGCCGATCCCGGGTCACGTTCAGGTACTGACGCTGCTCGTATGTTAATAATGACGGAGCCGCATTCATTTGTGCCCTCTATGTGTCCCCCCCCCCCCCCCGCTCTGCCCCCACACACACAAGCAGTCAGAGAAA